AGTGCCCAGGCATCACAGCTCACAGCAAGCTCAAACTCTTGGGCTCAAGTGATCCTCTTGCCTTAGCCTCCCAAGTAGCTGGGACTATAGGTGCCCACCACAACGTGTGGTTAGTTTTTCTATTTTTATGTCTTGCTTAGGCTGGGCTCAAACTCCTGAGCTTAAGCAATCTACCCACCTCAGCCTCCCAGAGTACTAGGATTACAGGCATGAGCCACTGACCTGACTACATGCTATTTTTAAACTGTAGCTTTCCCTTTGAATCATAAATTTAAAAAATTACAATTTTTTTTTATCAATCAGACATTAAAGTCGATAGTGCACAGTTTACTGTTTGAAGTAACAGAAGAGGGCAGATATTAGAATTGACCAAATAACATTGCCAGAAGATATCATGACACCTGTTTTAATAAACATTCAACAGCATCTGTAATTGTTATCTCAAAATTGAGAGAACAATTTGGTTTCTAACTACATTTCAGGCTCCTAATACATTTTTTGTTTAAAAAAAAAAGCCAATCAAAAGATAGTTTAAGAACATAAAAGTCACTTTCTGGAGTTAATAACATTTAATAGTTGCTACAGACTACATGCAACAAACTTTGAGAAAAGAAAAATTATCTCTCAGAAGGTTTATTCATTAAAGTACGTATGAGATTCATTAAAATAAGGGACATGTTAAAGAAAAGGCAATGAAAACATTTTTAGCATTAGTGACATTAAAATGGAAATCAATAACTTTCTCCATGACTACTAATCAGAAATTTTATTTTTTACTTGTTGGACATGTAAAAAACTTTGTTTTCAAAGGGAGGAAATGTTTATGCTCCGTCTATTTATGGCTATAAATAATTTTAAAAGGTGTAAAATTTCAGACAATGGAAAAGGAAGAGGAAATGGACCTCTAGTGAACACCTATCATAGTAGGTACAATTATGTAAGATATTTCACGTTTTTTAATTCATCTTATCCTATGACATCCTGCCTAAATAGTTGAACCTTATTTTACAAAGAAACTTGGGCTAAAGGAAACAAAATAACTTGAGTTGAATTTACATTGCCAGTAAGAAAAGTACCAGATTTACAATTTAGTTCAGCTGTCTGCCAAATTCACAATGTCCTTCACTTCAAGGCTAACAAAATCATTTCTGAGGACAAAGCAAAGGAATACTGCCAGTGCCCCATCATGGAAGCAGAAGTGCAGCATCCAGGCTACACAAATACTGAAGAGAATATATCAAGTCAGGGAGTCTGCTCTCATGGAGACAGACAATTTCTCTATGAAAGTAAATGAAAGAAGAAAAGTGGTCTAAAATATGAAATATGGGTGCTAGATTATAAACTGGGGAAAGATGTAAATTAGTTATTATTAATCAATGTTTAATTGCCCCATCATTTTATTTTTAAAGAGAATAGTGAATGTCAGAAAATCCATAATATGGTTTATTTGAGAGATATAAATAATGCACGCAGGTTTGTAGGGGATGGAAAATATTTCTAGTTTTTTTTTTTTTTTCACAGATAGAAAGGGAATGTTAATAAGAAAAGTTAATGAACAGTTATGTTTCTCCATGAAAAAAAGTTCACTGTGTTCTTGTTCTATCACCTGACTAGTTGTTCCTAACTGTCCACAGCATCAGTGAAAATCTTAAACCTCAGAGAATAAGCATAAAAAGTATACTACTGTTTTAACCCTAAGTTATACTAGTCAAGAGACAATAAATAGATTTCTTTCTCAACCATTTGTTTCTATTAGCACTCTTTTATCAGTGTCAAACTATGACGTATGTTTTGTAAGACAAAAGTGACTGCTGGATATAAATATCTTTACAGTGAAGTGTTACATACCTTTTCCCAGTAGAAGAGAGTCTTACAAATAGTTTGTTAGTGATGGGAACAACTTTCTGGATAAACACTTGTTGATCATCTCGCTCTCCAAAAGGCCCTTGGTCAGAAAACAAAAGTTATCAAAAAATTTAACATTTAATTCACTTCATCTACAAAAAGAACATTAATATTAATACAAAAAAAAAAAGAATTGCTCATGCCTAACAATCTAATAAGAGATTTTATCATTTTTACTTTACTGTACTTGACAAGGCAGGTAAACAGCCCATATTTATATGTTAGAATCTGAACAACAATATTTAGAAAAGTTTCTTCAGTGAAAACTTACATATAAAATTTTAATAATTCTCCTTTCCCATCATACTCACTAGACAAAATATTAACTTAGTGTTCATAAAAATTCACAAAATGTTTAAAGCCATATCCCAAGTTATCTTACATGAATCTAACACCACTAATGAATCATTTTTTTATTAGTTACTAAATACTTACATTGTGCTGATCATGTGCTGTGGCAGATGTTTACAAATATTAACTCACTTTAATCACCACAATAATCACATAAGAGAGGTACCACTATCTCTATTTTACAAATGAGAAAAGTAAGGCACCAAGAGATTAGTTAGCCAAAGATCTTGTACGTCCTAAATAAAAGAACAAACTAAGCTGGCTCTATCGTCTGGCTCTTCACTACACTAAGCAGTTTTACTCAGTTACTAGACAACTTTCTGATCTCTAATTCTATGGAAATGAAATGACAGTCCTGATCCAATAACTCATAAACTCAAAATAGTGATGATGAATAAAATCACAAGGAATGAGAAGACTATGGAACTATATTGTCTTTTCCCTTTAATTTTATACTGGAATGAGATTCTCTCTCTCATAACCTGACTCTTCACATCTTAACCCCCCCCCCCCAATTTATATTCAGAGTTTTTCCAAACTGTCTCCTCAGATTGGTTTCTTTCCTTGGAACACAAAACATTCTCGGATCATTACTATCTTCAATGGAGGAGAAGAGAAGAAAGATAAAAAACATGACCTTAGAATTTCCTTGCCGTCTAATTAGCTCCATTACTTCTGTCTTTCGTGGTCACTCCCAGTATCTATTACTTATTACCCACTGCGATCTAGACCCCACCCCTGCCCCCCTCCTGAAACTGGACTCCATTCAGTCCCACTGATCTGTCTATCTCTGAGGATTCAGAAAAAGACAATATAGTTCCATAGTCTTCTTCAGAGTTCCAACCTCGACACGCCCCACTACAGAATGGTACCCATACACCTCATCACTCAAAATACAAGTCTCAATTCACCTTCCTTTTCAAAATAAGTCCCACTTTCTCCATGTCCTTATTTAACTTAACGATATACCATTTTATAAGTTAACAATCCTGAGGGTCACTCTAGACTTCTCCTTCTCCCAGTCCTGCCACATTTAATCAGTGGCCACCAGGCCCTTTGATTCTTACTGAGTGATTCCTGGTCTTTAGAAAGTACATTCTTTCTTCCTGGTTTCCTTACTTCACTGCTAGATTTTCACACATGCTCAAGAAAGACAAATTATATTTATCACAAATTCAGTATAATTCTCTAATTCTTCAAAAGTTCCTCATTACTTATAAGACAAACTCCAAATTCTTCAGATTGATGTACAGAAGGCTTCCATGACCTAGCCCTGCCTATTCACCAGTCTCATATCTTACTCTCCTTATTCACACACCCTATAATCTAGCAATTGATGGCTTCCTTGACATTTCATAAAGGTGCTAAGTTCCCTTGGCCTCTGCTTTTAACACACTGTTCTAATCCTAGAACCTTATATCCAACCTCCCTATCTTTCCTGTTCAATTCAAACATTAAGATATCTATGTTTTCCATCAATGTTACGTGAGGCTATCTACCTCATAAAATTGTCAAGACTATCAAATGAGAGCTTATGATGTAAGACCCAACACAGAACCTGACACCACCTCCCCTGAGTGCTTTGAGCACAGTGTGCAAAATAACAGTTGTTTTCTTTTAATTCCCACTGCTTTGTAAGTTGACATTCATTGCACTAACGTATAGAACAAAAGTGTTCAATAGATTTGTTGCATACATGAAAATATAAACTTCTAGTTCCTAGCATAATGCAGAGAACTGGGATTATATGACAACTGTTAAAACTGACAACACTGAGCATTTTTAAATAAAAATATTGATGCTGTAGTAGTTTAATTCTCTTAAATAGCTTATATTTTTAAAGAATAAACATTTTAAAATTTTTTCTATAGAAGCATATTCTAGTTCAGTGGTTCTCAACCTTCTTAATGCCACGACCTTTTAATACAGTTCCTGTGGATCACGACCCACAGGTTGAGAACTGCTGTTCTAGATGGATGTAATTTATAGTTCCAAGAAAAATCAATTCTTAAGTGCGCTTTCCTATTCTCTAGCAGTGCTGTAATTTTTGTTTATACAAAATGATCAGAGGCTCGGTAACTGTAGTAGCACAGTGGTTACAGAGCCTGCCACATGCACCAAGGGTGGCGGGTTCAAACCCAGCTCAGGCCAGCTAAGCCATGAGAACTACAACCAAAAAAGAAAAATAGCCGGGCATTGCATTAGGCACCTGTAGTCCCTGCTACTTGGGAGGCTGAGGCAAGGGAACTGCTTAAGCCCTAGGGTTTGAGGTTGCTGTGAGCTGTGCTGCTGTGGTACTCTACCAAGGCTGACATAGTGAGACTCTGTCTCAAAAAAAGAAAAAGATCTGAAAGGTGTACTGGTTAACCAGTAAGTCCTAAGAACAATTAAGACAGTGAAATTTTTTCAAATGGGCCCTTGGGCAAAATAATCTGTCTGTATGATGGCTGTTCTGTGAGTGCACGCCTACTCAGGTATGTTTAAGTGCCTGTTAGCACATGTACATGGCTCGTTATGGAAGTTTTGAGGAACACACAAAAAATGTAAAGCTCATGTTAACAGAAAGTAATGAAGTTCTCCCATTGACAATGATAAGCCTAGCACATTGAAACTTGCACAGATAAATCAGAAAGGACACTATCAACCGTGTTTTTTGGAAGTGAAATAATGGACCATAACACAGTCCATCTCAAAACTTTCATAGTGGCCTGAGTACGTATGGTGTACAGAAACAAATATCAAACTACTTTATATACTTTTTGCTGAAATCAGACTATCAACAGAGATATGCTACAACATTGTTTACTGATGACTACTACAACGGTATCAAATGACTCATAAGAACACCAGCCCTTTTCTAGTTTTTTTTTTTTTTTCCTTGAGACAGAGCCTCAAGCTGTCTCCCTGGTTAGAGTGCTGTGGCATCACAGTTCACAGCAACCTCCAATTCCTGGGCTTAATGGATTCTCTTGCCTCAACCTCCCAAGTAGCTGGGACTACGGGCACCCGCATCAACGCCCGGCTATTTTTTGGTTGTCGTTGTCATTGTTCTTTGGCAGGCACAGGCTGGATTCAAACCTGCCAGCTCTAGTGTATGTGGCTGCTGGTGCCTTAGCCACTTGAGCTATAGGCACTGTGCCCCTTTCTAGCTTTTAATTTAATTTTCAGCAGCTTATTAACAGCAACAACAAAAAAATTCAAATTTGAAACATGCAGTTATATAGCTATTAACTATAAATAAAAGTGATTAACATTTGCAGATGATATTCTTGAAATGAGGAAACATTAATAGAATGAAAAATTTGGTCTCCTAACTTTAAACAGTGAAAAATGCTGAAATAATATAATTTTGTGAATTTAGAACTTAATATAATTTTGCTCATTTAGAACTTAATGAGCAAAATGCACTAAATTTCTATTTAGAGTTTAAAAATTAAATGAAAACTTATTTAAAACTCATTTTTAGGGTTCTATTACAGTTGATACCATTCTTCTGAACTGCTAATATAGTATCTAAAAATTCTAATACTCTAACCTACCTATGTCATTTCCGGAGGAATAGCTACCATGACTTTCTGTCTCCTCCAGTGACAATATCTTGAAAGACGCTAAAGGAGTAGAACCTGGCTGAGTGGAGATCATTCCTCGGAATCGTGTTACTGTCCACGTCCGAACATGATTGTTATCTGCACAGACTAGGACAGAGAGAAAATCCAAAACAGTTGTTCAATACAGACTAAAATGTACCACCAAAATCACTTTTATAAACACATTTCAACTTTTTAACAACAGATTGCAGTAAATTTTAAGTGGCAAATGATACATTTATCTTAAAATTATTTTTTGTACCTAGCTAACAAAGTGAGAGAAATGAATAAATCTTGATGCAAATGTAAGGTATGTAGGTAAACTTACGAATTCTTAGAAAAATGGCCTACAGGATATAAAAGGTTAAAAAGAACATTTGTATAACCAAGAAAATGGTGACCATTATACTATTCTATGGCTAAATAACATAGTAAACAATTGTCTAAATTATTTTTTCTAATAAAAGAAAGTGTTTCTGCTTATGTTACTCAATATTAAAAAACCTAGACTAGGAGTTTCTAAAAAGTTATGGTACATTAAGGAAGATTAAGATTCTGTACTAAAGCTGAGCATTATTTTTATATAAACTAAGAAAGCCCACATTTAAGAAACATGCTCCAACTAGTTTTATTCATTCTTTAAATGAAAATAGTATTAACTACGTATATGTCGAGATATCTCCTATCTTATTTCTATTTTTTTTGTCTGAATACTCTACTAGAAAATAATACACCAAAAATGTATCATCAGTACAAAAATTGTACTTTTTGTCATGTTTTATAAATGTACTAATTTGCCATTTATAATAATTTCAGGATATTTGTTATTAGCAATGAGTGATGACTCATTGGTAAACACTAAGTACTCAAAATTTCTTACACATGTAATAAAATGTCACAGTCATGCATTTTAAACACAACTTTAGAAATGAATTTTATTTTGGCAAATAGTAAGAAGCAACATTTGCATATATTTTTTCTTATGTAACAGAATTTTCAATTCTCAGATTGGAAGTTTTCCGTTGAAAAAGGGGACATTTAGTTCTAGGCTATTTAGTTTCACGAGAAATCATTTCCTAATTTCACTAATAAGCTTCCTGGGATTTAGGAAAATAAATATTTCTGGCTGATGCAACTGGACAATTATGCCAATTTTGTTAATATAAGATTAATCAGTATCTAAAGTTTTTATATAAGGCACTAATAACACATACTTAGAAAAAAGAAAGTCACTACATAGTGTTCTTATCCACCAGGTGGCAGAGTAACATCAAAGAACAAACATTAAAAAAAAAATCTGGATTTTTTGTTAAACTTGAGTATTTTTCTCGACAAATTAAATTTCAAACTTACACAAACTATTTGATGTTAAAATACAAATTTTACTAATTAGTTTTTTGGCATCACATCCTCCAATAACATTATAATCATCAAAGTAATAGCATCACTACTGAGTATCTCTGAAACTATCATTTAAAAATCACAACAACCTTGCAAAACTGTAGAGGATGAAATGGCCTTACTTTACACCCCATTTACTCAGCATGTGCTAGGAACTATACTACATGCTGACTGGAGGGTGGCGAACAAAGTTCCTGCTAGACTAGAATTGATATTCATGCTAAAAGAGAGAGATACACGCATGATAAACAAACAAACAAAAAGATCCAAATAAATGAATATTTGGTCTATGAAGTAAATACACTAAGAAACTGTTAGAGAAAGTTATTGTTAGGCCAGTTTAGGTCACAGAGGGCCCCTGAGAAGGCATTTGGAATAGGACATGAATGACAAGCAGAAGCCAAACGAGTATCTAGGGACAAAACATTTCAAGCAAAAAGAACAAGAGCTAAAGGTTCTAAGGCATTTTTAGGAAACAGAAAAGCCAACAGGTCAGACTGGCACAAGCAATAAGAAAAGTGGCATGGGAGCTGGGTAGACAGGATCTAGAACAAGAAGAGACGCAGCCACTGATAGAAATTTAAACTTACTCCAAATACCACTGGAAGCCACTGGGAATCTGATCTGGTTCCCTTTTCTGGAAGATAATTCTGGCTGCTTTGTGGAACACGTACCACAAAGAGACGAGATGAAAATACAAAGAGTACAGAAGTTTCTACAGTACTCTAGGTGAGAAATGATGATTTGAGCTACTAGGCTGACTGCAATGAGAAGTGATGAGATTTTTGACATAGGCTACAAAGCCAGTGGGACTTACTGAAGGAGTGTACTATGTGGTGGGTGTCAGAGAAAGGAAGAAGTCAAGCATGATTCTTAGATTGTTTAAGTATTAGATGGTGATATTGAATTTTAAGATACTTTTCAAGAAAGATTAAAAGTTCTATTTTGTCCAGCTTGAATCTGAGATACCTGTTATATACACAGCCACAAGGATACGCACATTTGCAAGTCTCTGGATGGTCTCACATGGAGAAAAAATCTGGGAGACACTGGCATATCGACGGTAATTACTATTCCAATCACCAGGGAAAAGTACAAAGAACACAGAGTCCAGGAAAAGAGCTCAGGGCAATCTAATGCTTAGCAGTTGGGCAAAAGCGGAGGAACCAGCAACAGAGGGAGAAAGGCTCCTCAGCGGGGCAGGTGAACGATGCTTGATGAAAGCCTAGAGAAGACAATGCTTTAGGAAGGCGTAACTATCATTATAACCCTATTAGACATTCTATAAAAGCACATTCATTCTTTTATCCACGGACAAGATCTTCCAGCCCCCACTAACACTTAATCAGACTGAGAATCCTTCAGTGAAGATGCACCACCTTTTAGGCAGTCTTCACATAAACATATCTGATTTTAAGTTAGGCAGGAAATGCTCTCCATCAGAGTTAATGTAATAAGGCTCCTCTAAAAAGCAGGGGGATACACCTGACTCACAATTCAATTTTCAAAAAGCCTTTTAAAAGTCATTTATCATACACAATGAATTTCTTCAGTGGAATTTTACTTTGTGATAAGAAAACCTAAATTTTTAAAGTTTTTACTTGACTACAAGGGACTGTAAACCCACAAAAAAGGGTTTCTTCAGATAATCTCTATACATTTTAATAATTTTTAATATTTTTGTAAGATGATGAAATATCAAAATATACATCTACATTTACAACTTTAGAATTAAAGCCTAAGATAATCACATTTTTATTAAAAGTGAAAATTTTTCCTAATAAAATTCCTCCCCAAAGGGTCATAATAAATATCTCTCAGTAAAACATGCCAAAAGAACAAAATATTAGACTAGAGAATAAATAAAAGATTTCATAACTCCTAAATTCATATATACTACAACCAGTCAAAATCAAAAACATTTTTAAAACCCAGTTATATCAATTCTTCAGTTATTAAAGTTTTCTACCATTGAAATATTTTTCTCAAAAATACATTCTTTTAATTTGTAGTACAGAAAATTACACAGCAGGCAAAGTTCCTTACCAATATTAATACAATCATTTTACCTGATACAAGATGCTTCTCTGACAGCATGATTTTTGTAACAGGACTTCGGTGAACGGTGAAAGTCTGAAAAAGCTGAGGACCTGACCCAACTGTCTCTGGGTGTTGTACAATCACTCGTACAGCTCCAGAGCTTGTACCGTAGGCAATCTCAATCCAGTTACCACTGACACCTACACAAGGTCAGACGTTGAAAAATGATGTATTTATTAGGTGATGAGGGTGAGAAGCTTCCCTATGATAAAGGGGCAGAGCTGTCTTCAGTGCTTCTATCGGCCAAAAATTCAGCTGAGCAATCTTAAGACCTCTGTGACCATACTAAAATCATTATTTCTTTTATAAATCTTTTCCTAACCTTCACTCCAAGACAGCACTGCTCTCCTCCTCCCTTGTACACTGCATTCGGTTCTATCACAGCAGCTATAAAACACTTATCCCCTATTTATTTCCATGTCTATTACCTCTATTCCTTATTGACAGTGGCTAAATCGTCATCTTTTTACTGCCACTTTACTGAGTGCCTGAGACATAGTAGGTACATATGTTAAAAGAATTAATAAATCTGCCACATCAAAAATACAACTGAAACAGAATAGTATTGTGAAAGCAATAGTCCATGTTACTTTTAGCCTCAAATTATCATCTGTTTCACTTTCACTAAAATACTGAATCATCTTCAAAAAATCAAGTATTATGTATCCTATTTTACAGTTTTACAACACTGAACTATGGAAGAAACGTACCCATTACCCTGTTGACATTACATTTAACCTGTTGCCTCACGTAAGGCTCAGATGTGGCTTTGTTTTTTTAAACAAGACTCCATCATAAATTTAAATATAGGATGCAGCTCCATGACCTGTATTTTTAAAACCTTCACAGACAGAGAACCTCTTAGCTTTATTAGCTGTTCTAGCTTTACTAACTGGTTTACCTCAAAATATGAACCAAAGGGAATATGAACAAAATATGAACATGTCACGGAAACATTTCCTATAACCTGAAAGACGATCTGGTTTTCCAGTCCCCCCACCACCACAGAAGCGCTTTGATTCATAAACCTCTTCCAATTTTATTCCCACTTTTTAATTAGACTGCAAAAACAAACCAACAAAAGTCCCCACATCTCACTCTAAAGCAGGGGTCAAGAAACTTTTATACAAAGTCAAATAGCAAACAATTTAAACTTTACATGCTATACTGTCTCTTTCACAACCTCTAAAAATTGTCATTGTGGCACAAAAGCATCCACAGAGAATAGGTAAAACTATTAACAAAAACAGCTAGCTTGTCCTTCAATTGCTGTTCACTGACCCCTGATCTACAGCAATACAGTTTAAGCTCTACTATGGTTTTATTCAAAATTTATCAGTATAGGCTTGGCACCAGCCACACACACCAGAGCTGGTGGGTTTGAATCCAGCCAGGCCCGCCAAACAACAATGACAACCACAAAAAAAAAAAAAAAAAAAAAAAATAGCGAGGTGTTGCGGCAGGCACCTATAGTCCCAGCTACTTGGGAGACTGAAGCAAGACAATGGCTTTAACTCCAAGAGTTTGGGGTTGCTGTGAGCTGTGATGCCACAGCACCCTACCCCAGGGTGACAGAGTCAGACTCTGTCTCAAAAAAATTATCAGTATATACTTCTTTCATACTAAATTGTAATAATTTCCTTTAAAAAATTCAATAAAATGATGATCTTGTATAAGTAACATTCAAACCTATTAGGTATTAACATGCTAATATTTCTTACAATTCTTTTCACTACAGACACATTTTGAATTTCTCAGTTATTTGAGAATTTTGCAGTTCTCAAAAAGGGCCAGATTAGTTTTACCTGGTTACATAATGAACTAATGAATACAACATGTTCTCACAAAGCTTTCAGGCATTTATAACAATTGACCATGTACTAACTTGTTTTGGGTGTGAAGTAAACACTCAGAGCAGTAATAGCATCATTTGAAGGATCATGATAAAGTTCAGTTACAAGAAGATCATTATCTTTCATTCGCAAGGGGAACTTCTGCATGTCTAAAAAATAAAGCATTTTAAATAGTGTTAAATAGTGCAGCTATTTAGAACTATAAAGTAATTGTTCTCATTTTAAAAACTGCATTAAGTAGGTCCATTTTTGTGTCGAGACACTTACCTATGTAATATATTGATCCATTGTTACATCCCAAGAGAAGGAATGACCCAGCAGTGTCATAACTAGTTATAGGAACAACGTCTTGAACCTGATGTAGTGAGATTATTATTAGTTAGAGAGTAATTATAATTTCTATTTTCTGTTCAATTTCCTCAAAACAACCTTTTGACAAAAAGGCAACAAACATTCAATTCTGGTAGAGCTTAGAAAATAAACTTTCTTTCAGCGTGCACGTGTATGGATGGCACACACGTATGCCACAGAAAATTCTCAAGAACCATCAACACAGTTTCTTAAAAAAAAAAAACCCTTAAATTATGTTTCCCATAACAGCACTTTCCATTTTCAAGTTAGATGAGTATCTTTCTTTTCTGCACACGATTTCTGCACTGGAACTGGAAGGCCAACTCCAGCTAGGTCTCCTTCTTCCCTTTTTTTCTCGTACAAGAGATTAAGGGACAGAATCAGAACTCATGAACAGAGCAAATGATTTCCAGACAGCCCTTGCTCCCTTGATAGTTTATTAAACAACTTTTTTGAAAAGGCAGCAGCATTCTCTATTTTCATTCTCCTTACTAAAAGTTTGTATCTGTTTTCTAGAAAATGGCAAGGCAAAGTCTCATACGCATTTTTTCAAAATACTGGAATTAAAAAAAAATGTTTTTCTAGGTAGATCAATTTACTTTACAAATTAATAACTTCCTACACTTGTGCTAACAGTAAAAGCAAAGGGCATGCATTTCATTATAAAATAAAATAAAAACAAAAACCACAATAAATGTTTGGTAGAATGGTGGCAATACATGAAATCATGATGAACTTTCCCTACTTATACTCAGCCCAGAAGTGCATGTGAAAACTTCACAGATGACATTTAAATGAAATACTACACAACAAGTTTTTCATACATCGTACAAGTCAAAAAGAGAGATTTCTAGTAATTTATAAATTAAAAATATTAAAGGATCTTTTAAATTTCATATACTGTATTTATTTTTCATTAAAAAATTACAATGTAAACATTATCTGTTTAACATGTGAATACTTTTCAGGCAATAAGCAAGTACTGGACTGAAGGTAAGGGATGTGCAATGTCATTTTTGCTCTCTAGCAACTTATAAATTTGTGAGCAAAGGCTTTGCAGACGCTGTCACTTCTTATAATTGTCTTGTATCAGCCATGGCCAACCCCAGTGTGTTCTTCCATATTGTCGCTGACGGCGAGCCCTTGGGCCGCGTCTCCTTCGAGCGGTTTGCAGACAAAGTTCCAAAGACAGCAGAAAACTTTCATGTTCTGAGCACTGGAGAAAAAGGATTTGGTTATAAGGGTTCCTGCTTTCACAGAATTATTCCAGGGTTTATGTGCCAGGGTGGTGACTTCGCACGCCATAATGGCACTGGTGGCAAGTCTATCTACAGGGAGAAATTTGAAGATTAAAACTCTGTTCTGAAGCATACAGGTCCTGGCATCTTGTCCACAGCAAATGCTGGACCCAACACGAACAGTTCCCAGTTTTTCATCTGCACTACCAAGACTGAGCGGTTGGATGGCAAGCATGTGGTCTTTGGCAAGGTGAAAGAAGGCATGAATGTTGTGGAAGCCATGGAGTGCTTTGGGTCCAAGAATGGCAAGACCAGCAGAAGATCCCCATTACTGACTGTGGACAACTGTAGTACATTTGACTTAATGTTTCAGCCACCAAACCGTCCCTCCTGTAGCTCAGGAGAGCCCCCTTCTACCCCATTTGCTCGCAATATCCTGTAATCTCTGTGCTCTCACTGCAGTTCTTTGGTTTGCATATTTTCCTTATTCCCCTCCACGTCTAGCTGAATTGCAGAGTTAAGTTTATGATTATAAAATAAAAACTAAATTAAAAAAAAATTTGTGAGAAAAAAAAGACAGCTATGGTGTGGTAGACACTAAACCAGAGGGTGAAATCAATCACAGAAGAGAAAAGGAGGACTGCCAGCTCACTGCAGATGGGAAAGGAGCACAAACCAAGCAAGAGCTGAGAGAGGAAGTGACGCTGGAAAAGCTGACTAGAGTCAGGCAGGGGAAGGGGAAAGGGAACGTTAAGACAGAGAAGCGAGTAAAAAACTATTCTAATTAAAAAACAAACAAAAGAGCTAAAACTTGTGAATGATTCCTCTAAGCCAGTCTCCCCAACCTTTTTGGTACCAGGCATCAGTTTCCTGGAAGGTAAAATTTCCACAGACCAGAACTGGGGTGGCGGGTGGATGAATGGGGCAGGAGGTGGAGCTTCCGCAGTGATGCTGTGCAGTCTGGTTTGTTCCTAACAGGCGGCAGACTGGTACCAGGAGGTGGGGCCCAAGCTGTTCATATACATGACCCTAATTTCTGTATGTGTTACACAGTTAGGAGTTACACTGGAAACAGCTCTGCAAAGAACCAACTGCATCCTAACCTCAGGTAAGGCTTCTGATTAGCATCAGTGTCAACTGATGTGCCAGGTAAACACTTTGGGAACGTCTCAGAGATGTGAGTAAAGATGGATTAAGAATGGAAGAGAGACTGGTTTATACACCACTAATCAATTTTTTTTTCCTTTTATTAAGTCATATACACGTAGATCATGAATACACTTATGCATTTGTGGGGTACAATGTGTTGATTTTTTATACAATTTGGAGTGCTTACATCAAACTAATCAACACAGCTTTCACCTCATTTACTAATTATTATGTTAAGACATTTATGTTCTATTGTTGATAGATTTGACTTGTAACTTCCAATATGCTCCATAGGTGTGGTACCCCCGTTTACCTTCCCATCAAACCCCTCCCCCAAGTCCCTCCACTTCTCTCTTTCATCCTGGGCTACAGTTGTGATCTACCTTTCATAAGAAACTATGAGTAATTATAAATTGGTTTCATAAAAGTACTGAGTACACTGG